ATAGTAAAATACGTTTGTATGAAAGGTCCTCGTTTAAACTTTACTATTAGCTGCCATAATGCTTCCTTGGTAGCGGTCTCATTGCTGAGTGAAGATGGGTTAAACAAACATGGATGCAATTTGTATCATTGCCTATTCGCCAAAACCCAACCAGGGCAGTCATTTAGAAATGACTCGCATCAAAATACAGTCTAGTGTCTCCCCCTGCTGCCCAGTTCAAATACTCCATCAGGCATTTACATTTCATTGAAAATATATGATTCATCTTTCATTCTTCATTAGTTTTTTTTAAATGTCACAAAAGATGTGCAGGTAAAGCATAATCCCTCATGCCATATTTGGTTTCAAATTATCTGGTGAATTACCTATTTCTTAACGTCCAATTTATCAATATTGTTGGTCTGTTCATTATTTTCTGTATTAAATTCATTTAATTCATTCCAACAGTGGAAAGTATAAGGGGGTATCTGACAGTCCAAGATGAAACAAATAAGGGAATCTAAGAAAAAACCCAAAATAAAAATGTTATGGGTTTTCAATTATTTTTGCTTGTTCTGACCCTGTGAATTATAGGTCACGTCGGAGCCCCGCTGCCATGCAACCTCATCAGACTGGTGGATGTTCCTGAGAAAAACTACTTTGCCTCTAAGGGAGAGGGAGAGGTCAGTAAAATGATCTTGAAAGATGTTGTATCTTTATAAAAAAATACAAAGTACTGCCATGTTACTGCAAACAAGGCCCAGATAAGTAGTGTAAAACATTATAAAACATTACTAGAGCGTGTATTGTTTATCTTTAAGTTGACATGCAGTGCCCACAATCTATATAATAAAAATGCCATACTAAAAAAGAACATACATTTTATAGAAGAATAGGAATGTATTGACCTTTAAAAACCTGTGTTAGGGTTTTAACAGGAGATTCAATTTATATATTTGACCTCACACTCTGACCCTTTTCCACTTGTTTACCATCTAGGTGTGTGTGAAGGGACCAAACGTGTTTAAGGGCTACCTCAAAGACCCAGAGAGGACGGCAGAGACGCTGGACGCAGACGGCTGGCTTCACACCGGAGACATTGGCAAATGGTTGCCTGTACGTATCTCATCTCATTATTAAGACAAACATTTACAATGACACAACATTCTGGATAATGAATAGTCAAGGAATCCCCAGATGTTTCCACCATGTATTTTCTTCTTTTCATTTATTCAACCTCTAATCTTCTGCAGAATGGCACACTGAAGATCATCGACAGGAAGAAACACATTTTCAAATTGGCACAGGGCGAGTACATCTCCCCTGAGAAGATCGAGAACATCTACATTAGGAGCGAACCTGTGGCACAGCTCTATATTCATGGAGATAGCCTGCAGGTAAGAATACTTACACAAACACACCCATCAGTCCCATACATCCTAATTCTTTGAATTAGCTGAATAACATGTATGGCTCCTGAGAGCCTGCAAGTACGTCTTTGCTCTGATTCCTGTGCTCCATTTTTAAGCCAGGACAAATAGAGCACAAAATCATCTATCAGGTGCTCATTTTTCAGCTTAATTAGTACAATATCCTTTGACCTCTTCCTCCTATGTTTGTGTCTTCTCTTTCCAGTCCTGTTTGGTAGGGATTGTGGTTCCTGACCCAGAAGTCATGCCTGAATGGGCCAAGAAAAAAGGCATACTGGGCACATATAAGGACCTCTGTAAAAACACGGTAGGTTGCATGTTCCTTGAATGCTTCTAAGTTCTGTCGATAACTAAAATACTGAATAATACCATGGAAAATAACCTTCCACTTTGTCAACAGGAATTGAAGAAGGCGATCCTTGAGGACTTGGTGCGTCTGGGCAAGGCCAGTGGCCTCCATTCATTTGAGCAGGTAGGAAGGCAGATATATGTTTGGGTTGAAGGCAAAACAAAGATCATATTTGGCCTGCCTTTTGATTTTATCAGTATTATTCTTTTTCTTAAAGCTACAGAATGATCATTTACACAATCCTTTACTACATGTATATGCCAGAAGTATTTCGAGTAGGATCTGTTTGGCGTTGTTTTTATAAGATCCACAAGTAATACATTATTCATCAAATTGCTCCAGTTGAGCAACTCAACTCAGTAAACTAATATTTGTAAATCTTCATCCTTATGATTATTAAAGAGGGCGTTGCTAAAACCTTTTTAGTTTGGCAAGTACTTTTTCATTATATTAAAAAGGAAATAAATCAATATCACAGGTCTTCTGCTAAACTTGTGTTATCTATACAGCTCCTAAAAATAACAACCTCTCAACAATCTTGGTCTAATTATACACTTTCTTTCCTATTCCTTCACATTTTTCTTTGCAGGTGAAGAACATCTACATCAACAATGAGATGTTTTCCATTATGAACGGCCTCCTGACTCCCACATTAAAGGCCAAGAGACCAGAGCTGAAGGAGTATTTCAAGGAGAAGATCGACCGACTCTATGAAAGCATCTCCATGTGAAGGCCGGCAGACCTAATTTTCCTTCAAGCATCTTTACACTTAGTTCTGCTTTCACCATTGACTTCAGTGGGATAAAGATGTGACCACTTAGGCTTAAAAGCTATGGGAAAAGCAAGCCAAACCGGCCCCTGCTATGGAAGATTTAATGCCTAAAAACTAAAACAAATCCAAGACACAAAAATAAATACAATACACTTTGTTATATGTATTTCTATTTTAATTAGGCATTTGCTGTGACATAACTACATGTACACATATGTAAAACGAAAGAATATGTGTTAATCTGTGAACTGTTCTTTATTCCTTGGGATAAAATGCAAACCACAAAACAGAAAGGGTTTTGTAATTCAGTAAATACAAAGCACTTTGTTTGGTTTTCATGAGAATGTCCAACAGAGCTTTTTCTTTTTTGACAGGGAAACATAACACACATATGCATACAGAAAAAGGAAATGTAAATACAAATGTGATTTGTAGATCACTTTTTTTATTTTAATGGTTTTGATTTAGGCATTTTAAATCTTCCATACTTTGTTTCTTGCTATCCACCCAAACAAACCATCAAAGGCTCTGTCCCCAGCAGCAGAAAACTCACCCTCACTTTTATGTTGAGCAACCATTTCCACTTGTCACCCTGTCCAATCTATTTTTTTCCTCCATCAGTTTAAACCCACCAGCCTAACACAACCTGAATCCAGTTATACGACAGCAAGCGTGATGTCTTTGTGTATAGTGTAGCTCAAGGATATGTATTGCTGACACATATGGGACAGTAATGGACTTCCTCCTCAGTGGGACATTTAGATTTTCCTTGAATCGAACAAGCTGCTGACAGCAGTGCTGCTAAGCAGGGCCTGATACATTTCCCTTGATCTGGCACACTAAAAGAGATTCAACTTTTACTCAACACATTGCGCAATTTGACCAAAACTACACCTTAATGTTTAAGGGCAGAATTAAGAAAGCAAGGTATAGACAGTAGCAGCTCCTGCCTTACTAATCATTGCTGTCTACACCATTCCATTGTAGAGCATCTCGATGTTTGAGCCACATTAAAATACATCGCTGTTCATGTCATGTTCTCACTCACTCATTAAGTCACCTCGACATGGCTGTGATCTGCAGTTTAGCATGCATGCTCCTTGTTTATGTGAAGGACTGGCACACTGTAACACACATTACGGTTCACACTCTACAGTCTGTTCATTCACTCCTTTTTTAACATCCACCTTTGCGCAAATAGTATGTCAGGTAAAAGAACAAAAAAGAGATCATGCTAAACCAGGTCTCAGGGCAATGCATGCAGTTTGCCCTGCAATGCTGGCACCATTGACTTGAAACTGATGAGTATTTCTTTGTGGCCATTAATAGCAGGTTGTATGCAGCTGCCCACAGTCACTGCTGCTAGTGCAAGGCTTTGTAAAGTAGGCAAAGCTGATGAATTCCACTCACTGGAGGAAAATAGAACAACCATCAACTTTTAATGAAAAATAAACACGTTTTTGAAGGGTTTACACATAGAAGTAATGTATAGACTTTTTAAGTTGATTACCGTCCCAAAGCATAAACAATGTGGATGTACATAAACGAGGACAGCTAGATGTAAGCATATTTATTAAATCAATGGTTTGAATGGATTTTTTTCTCTCTTTTTGCGTGTAGTGAGATGAATTGTACTTATTTATTTATCTATTCTGCTGTAAAATGGAATCAGCACCATATCCTTGTAACGATTGAGTGCAGCAATAGGGATGAGGGTGGGTGGGGAATAGGACAAGGGCAATGAAATAAAAAAGATATTCTGGAATGATTTTAAACAAGTGTCTTGTTTCTTTTTTCATGGTATCTTCAATTGTCATTGCATTACGTTTTATTTTGAAAGGTTTTCCTGGAGAGGCCAACATGTAGTATGAACTTATTGGACTGCTGCTCTTAAAAGAGGTAGCCTACTTAAATTGTTAACCAAGTAGCAAACCAATACCATCATGAAAAACACTCCACTACAAGTAAAAAGCATACATGCATTAACGTATTATCAACTAAATGTCCTGAAAGGAGCTAAAATAAAAGTATTCTTTTTTTTCAAACGAGTAACATAAGTTAGTATAAATTACAAAATGTCCCAGTGAAATTAAATATGAAAATAATTAAAAGTATTTGAGTAGCACAAACATCAACGAGTGTAGGCCTACATCAAAAGCTAAGTAGAAAATATCATGTGCAGTAGCCTAGTCCAGTGTTTTTCAAAGTGGGGGCCCCGAAATTGGCCGGTTCTAAAGGGTTATTAAGACGTCGTTTAAGAGTGACGTTTGAGTTAACGAGGACATCCCAATTAATACCTGAGGACTCCTCTGTCCCCGCGTCACCTCCTCGTTTCTCTCGCTCGCATTTTACGGAGGCGGAGCTAAGATGCAAGGAAGGGACGCGAGTGAGGGAAAGGAGGAGTCGAGGAGGGGTATTGGGATGAGGCTTGAGTATCTGCTCAGCTTTTGGAGCAAGTGAGATCTAGTGAATATTTCGCTCTGCAGCTGGATGAGAGCACGGATGTAGCAAATGTCGCAGAATTGCTTGCATACATCAGATTTATTTCAGAAGATAACTTTGTTGAGGAAATATTATTTTTGCAAAGCACTGGAAGATAGGACCATATGAAGAGACATTTTCCAAGTTTTAGATGAGTTCATAATCTCAAATGGACTTGATTGGTATCGTTATGTGGGTGTGTGTTCAGATGGGGCAGTGGGACTATGACAGGCAAAAAAAGCGGAGTAACAGCTTTGATCAGGCAGAAGGCCCCAAATGTAGTGGCAACACACTGCATGCTCCATCGCGACTCGCGCGGCACTTGTACACATCATTTTATTTTTTTTAAAGAAGTGCAACAGGGGGGTCCCCGCCAGAGGACAATGCTATATGGGGGTCCTTGGTATGGCAAAGTTTGCGAACCCGTCTACCCCCGTAATCCACCGGGTCCGGAGAAGCTAGGCAGGCTATCTGATATCACTGATGTCATGTAGCCTAGTAAGACTTCCGTTGAACATTTTCAAAATAAAGTAGGCTAATTGTGTTCATGTTTGTAATTTAACGATTTGTTTTTCACATTAAGATAGATTGTAGTGTGCGTTGGGGGGATTTAATGGAATCATCAGCTGATTGACTACAGGTGTTCTCGGTTGCTAAGCATCGCACAAAGAGCAGGGGAAAGTTTCAGTTATTAGCATCCAGGAAGACTTTTAACCGTAAGCTTTACGAAATTAAAAACGAATTGAGTTTAATGTGTTAGCAACAGCTGATCTAACGTTGAGATAGTGTCAGATTTATACTGACAGATCATTGGATCGTAATTTGGACGACAATTTAGTTCGGAAATGGGTCGAGTGAGGCGTGCCAGTGGAATACCAAACAAACCAGATACACCCGTGCGGAACAAACGAGAAAGTAAGAAATCTAACACATCATCTTAAACGTACATTGTAATAGAGGTTTTAATTTAACTTTGCCATGGTATGCACAGGTTTGAACCACAACTTTACTATATAGGTTATCGAACAGTTTAATTGGAAGCTCCTGTGACCAGCTGACTTATTTGGCAAGAAGCCTATTTAATTGTAATATAAAGATCAACATCGGCTTGATGCCTTTTTTTATGTCTTTCTTTTGAGTCGAACAAGGCCTACTTAAATCTGATTATGTTCAACATGACTTGAAGTCAATGCACTAGGAGAAATGTATAGTGGTGGATAGTAAAAAAAGTACATACAAGTACAGTACTGAAGTACAATTTTGAAGGATTTGTACTCTACCCAAGTATTCTCAGTTCATGCTACTTCAACTCCACTCCATTTTAGAAGCCAATATTATACTTTTTACTACACTACATTTATTTGACAGCTTTAAGATACTAGTAACTTTTTAGATATAGCTAATTAAAGATATAAATCAAATAAACATTGATATATATATTTACTGTTTAGGTTAAGATAACGAAGCAGTATATAAAGATAATAAAATACATCTACATTTACCAGCTGTGATAAAAACACATCAATAATCATAATAGTAACCCAGTAACTCAATATACAATTTTGAAATGGGCCATTACGCATGAGGAGTATTTTTGCTTTTGGTACCCATTTATTTTTATGCCATTTCTTTTGTACTTTTACTTTAGCAAGATTTTGAATGCAGGACTTTTACTTGTAACAAAGTACTTTTTAAAATGTAGTATTGCTACATTTACTTACGTAATAAATCTGAGTACTTCTTCATGCTCTGTGTATGTCATGGTAAACACAGGTAAATGAGCTATAGCTGCTATCCCATTTTAAAAAACTTTCAGAGCACAAGAGACTTCTGCCAAACAAGAAATATGAAGCTTTTGCAGAGGAGCCTGGGGTGGAAGAGATGCATGTTCCCACTGTCAAACCAACCAAACCAGTGAGTATACCCACTATAGGGAGATATATATCCTTATACATTTGATGTATGGATGACAAACTATTCTCTTCTTAATAATAACATGCATAGAACACATTTTTCTCTATTGGACTTTTGGATAAAGGGTACATAATGGGGACATTCATTTTTGCTGTAATTTTTCTTTGAATTTTGTTATTCAAGTTGATAGTTTCTCAAACTTTTCCCCCACTTCTCCTAATTGTCCACTCTTATCCTTTTCACACACAGACACACATTAAGACTGTCCAAAACAAATCTGGGTTACGCTTGAGCAGGCCTCCATCTACTGAAAACTCCAGCAAGAAAACGCATGCCGTGCCAGCTTCTAGGAGATCTAGTTACAGAGTGTCAGCATCAGGTCACCAAACAATTCAAACCACTCCCAGGATAGAGGCCGCTAAAGGTGGTGACATGCTAGTTAACGATGAAGAGCAAAACATGACAGTAACATCTGAAAGTGTCATGTCGTCTAGCATGGAGTCAGACACTCCTTTCATCTGTAACGATGATGATGAGGAGGAAGAAGACTGCTTCTTTGCCTCATCTTTCAGCAGTCTTCCCTCCCCGGAGACCTTTAGAAGAGATATAGATGGTATGTGTGCATTTTTGTTGATCCACAAGCAAAATATAAGGTTATTCATTTTTATTTATTTTTTTCAACCTTCTTGTCACTTATTTTGTCTTCTTTTCCCAGTGGAGACATCAACTTTTCCTATTAAGGAGGGGCTTGGGCTTCATCTTAACATAAAAAACTCCACCTTGCTTAATGTGAGCAACGCTGAGACCATACACATGCATCAGCCCCTAAACCTTTCTAGCATCATCGGTAATGGTTTGAAAAAACGTTTCTTTTTCATTTTATTTGGTAGGATATGTAGTTATCGTAGTAAACATTTTTGAAGTTTAGTGATTTAAAAAAAAAGGGTTTATTAACTTATGATATTGAGAATAAGATGGATTGAAATAAATACATATAGTGTATTTTTGAAAAAATGTAAAGTTTAGTGTTAGCTTGAAAATACTTGGTCTTTTCACAGTTTAAAAACATATTGTGTCTGCAGATGTCTCTGAGATTGTTGACGAAAAGAACTGTGAGATCAAGTGAGTTCCTTTCTTTTTTAAAGTTATACATTTTTAAGCTATTTTTGTTTGTATTCCTACAGCTAAATACATTGTCTGCTGATACTTTAGAACACTTGAAACTAACAAAGAAAGGTATCTGCATACTCAACATCCATGTAACCAAAACTTGATCAATCACTGTTTTTCTCTTTGAAGCCAACACGGAAGACCTGAAGCTGAGACCAGAAAACATGTGGACCCATTTAAATCAGGTTAAGACTCATTAAGTGAGACATGTATCCTAATCAAACTATTTAATGTCATTATGCGCCAACTAATAAACTATATATTTTTTAAATCCTCAATTTGTAGAGAAGGCCTTGGAGTTGAAAACCCCCCCAAAAGTAAGAAGTCACTTGGTTGTATCCTGTGTAATCAAAATCTGATATTCACAACCAATTTTTATAAATAATAAGTATTATGGTCATGGTAACGTATGATTCTTGCTCCTTTAGCTCACCAACAGAAGGACCATTTCATACAAGAAGAAGGTCTCGTTCAAAAGCCCCATCATTGTGGACACCTTGGAAGCAAAATACATCCCAGGCACCAAATTAACCATTTACCGCAACAATGAACTAGCCCACACATCAAGCACTTCTGAGCAGAATGAAACAGACACATCCTCAGCTGGTAACATCAGTTATAAAGAAAAAGCATTAAAGCTGAAGGTGAGGGCAAAAAGGCCTGTAATAATAATCCGGGAATCAAAGTTCTTTGACTTTATCGACGACAGTGACAGTGATGCATTCTTTGATAGAATGAGAATACGTTGTGCCAAACTCAGAAGTGCTCCTTTATTTCCTCTCACAGCTTCGCCTCCTATGTAGAACCTTCTTTTTTGTGATATCTTAAGGCAAATTAATGTATGTTAAGATGTTGTCTTTTTCCCATAATCAAGATGTATAGAGGTCTGTATGTTGACTATCCTGTAAAAGAGTAATCTGATGTCAGTGTATGAGTCATCATGTCTCAAATGTGATGCATTCTTTATTTAAAGAGAATAATTCAAAAGGCATGCCCTGCCATGTATTTAAGTGCATGCACATCATATATTTTGAGTGTGACTTTTCAACTTTCCTTTCTTCTCAACCTTGTCCTTTTATTACCTTGTTACTGTTTCCTACAAACCTTGACATGTACCTCTGGTTACCTTTTGTATTCTACAATTGTGTATTGTACAAGTGTCTGTGCAAAGTGACCACTAGATGTCAGACCTGTATTTTTTTACGGTGCCTTTTCACCTCTCCTGTTATATTGTTTTATAATTTAAAATATATATGTTGTTTGTGTTGCATTTTTGTGTTATTAATTATTTACTCTTTGTTTGTGCCATAATTGCATACAAATCAAAAATTGTATTGTAAGCAAAAAGCTTAAATGTAAGCTAATTTGTCTTTTTGGTCGTCTATATTTTCAAGGACTCCCTGCTAATGTAGGCCTACTAATTTCCGATCGTCAAAAATATTCAAAACTAAATGAATGTACAATAAAGTAATGCATGGTAATGATTCTTGTTGGATCCCCTTTATTTGTGGAACACAATCCTTGCCTTTCCATTTAACTTTTTCTCATGTGACACTTTAAAATATCTTCTATCTTGTAAGCATCTCATAAGTCGCAATTGTATTATTTTTGCGAATACATGGAATACATGCACGCTGTCACGATTCCCGACAAAACATCAACACAGCGAATCCACTGACCACGTGGTATCGGGATAAAAATAGCAGCCAATCAGGTAATTTGTTGTAGCAGCAACGTCCAGTCAGCCAATCGGAAAAAACGCATTTAGTTACTAAGCAGCTCCCGTGACTAATGCCTGTCATATGACTGTGACACCCATGGAGACAGTTACAAGGAACAAGATTTGCTCTCGGATTTGAAAAGAAAAGAGACTTTCTGTACCGAATTTATTTTGGTACAAAATGCCTCCGACTCTCTTCCAGAAACTTTTCAACAAGAAAAATGCGTTTTCGTCGCCACCCCCGAGATGTAACAAAGATGACCCAGCTTTCAGGTAACGTTAGCTATTTTGTTTGTGTGTGCATGTTTTGTGTGTGTGTGTAATGTTGTACATTTATTAATTACTTTCACCGAGTCCTGAAGCATGACATAGTTTTTGGCGTAGTGTATATGTTGTTTTCACTGGTACTTTACAACATTGTTTGATATTGTTTATTTGAATTTGATATGGAAGTGCGGTGATTGGAGACGTGTTGTGCCTGTTGGTCGGTTAGCTAACATGCTAATGCTAGCTACCATCCGTTAGCGGGGGCTGCTGCATGTGCTGTCTCCTGATGGGACCGCTTGAATCAATAGCTCTTATTTGTCGCGTGTTTTATATAAGTATTACAGCTGGTGTGCAGTTGTTAATTAAGTGACAATAAGTCCACGATACACGTTTCCTCCCATCCTGAGATGTGGTATAACCAGCGGATCGATATTCTTGCTTAGAAGTTGCAGAGGAACCTTTTCCCTTTGTGTCCCCCTTTGTGTTGCTTTGGTTACGGTGATTTGACTGTGTGGTAAGAAGAACAACGAGGCTCTAGAGACGGTTGCAGTCGCGCTCTTCTGTCGCCAATCGTGGGCTATACCATCGATGACTTGGAGCAAAGTACAGCTGGCTTCTCTCAATCCTGCATGGTGTTGTACTCTTCTCCACTGCCGTCAGACAGAGGTGGAGGAGGACGCAGTGTGCTCTGTGTTGGAACACATGTGATCAGTCCAGTCGGTCACTGACAGACAGAACCACAACAGACCAGTAGACACTCCGCAGTCTGGAGATGTCAACTTTTTCTGATAATCATCTGTGCTCTAAATGGCAGGTTTGTTTTTGTGTTTATCTATACGTCTTGTGTTTAGTTAACACAAGTGATATGTGGCATGCACGAATTTATAGATGTCGTGATTTAACAGTCTATGGTGTAAACTCCATACATACATGTCAAAATCATAGCAGTCATGTTCATAAAAAAATCAAGATATAAAGACAATTCTGATTGTGTTACTCAACTCAACTCGTCTGACGATATATGCCGTTAATAACTGCAATATATACCTGGCTGCTATATCTTCGAAACTGTTACAGGATGCGTACTTTGTAAATTATGTAATTTAAAAAAAAAAAAAAAAAAAATTATTAAAAAAAACACATCGTTATCTTTAATCTTTTTTTAATGCATGCTTCTTAGTTAATATTAAGCTGGCTTTGGCTCTTTTTCTTGCTGTAACAAATGCAAATGTCCCCTCTGTGGGAAGAATAAAGGTATTCTGATTCTAAATCCGATGGATTGATTCAAATGTGGACTAAATCAAGACTTCTGTCATGCCAGCTTGAACGAAAAATGCAAATACATCATATATATGGCAATATGTTCTCCCTCCAAGTTGCAGTGACATCATTTGTTTAGATACTTACTGGTATTGTCCATCAGTAGCAGGGTTAAGCTGCTTTTAAAATGGAGTCAATCGAATGCAAGGGGAATCATCACAAAAATAATAAGACCACCATGCAGGTATGACATGTATTGCCAGCAATATAAATACTTGCTATTGAAATACCCCAAGGCACAATTTGATCTGACTGAGCAAGGCATCCTTAAGCTGACTATTATGATACTCTATACTCCCTGAGTTGATTTACAGTTTCCCTGTGTATATTCCTACACACTCTGGGTCAGGGTCAAATCTGTCACTGTCACCATGGGGAAAGGGCTCTTTTTAGTTTTAAATACATTTGAACTGGGAATTATTGCTCACGGCCAGCCACCCATTGAAGGACCTGAAAGCTCACATGCTTGTGGTGTTACTTCCACTTTGGTCAGTGTCTTTGTCAGCGCATGTATGGCCATAAAGTTGCTCTGTGCCCATGTGTTATTAATGCTGTTTGTGTATGGTTGGCTCGCTTCAATCGTAGACCAAAGAGGCAGACAGCTGGCATTTCTGTTCACTTGGTGGTCAGCTGTGCTCTTCATACCTCTGGCAATGCTTCCCCATTCATCAGGCATGCATTGCTTTGGAGAGGGAGGCACTGTGAGTAGACAAAGGCAAGAAGAAGGAGTGATGGATGGATAGATATGACACTTGGGTGGTAGCAGGATTAGCCCAGAAAGGGCCAGTATTATAGGCTTACTGTTCTCGTTTAGCTACAATAGATCACAGATGCTTTTGGTATGAGGAAACTAATAACCTTAAATAAATCAGGGGATCACTAATTTGTGCAGCACACACATTTCTTTGTAAGCCTTTGCAGCCCCTGTGCTCCGGGAGTAGTATAATAGTTGTTGAGTGCGTTCTCTATTTGCTATGAAAATTACACACCGATTTGCTATTGGTCTTGCTTTATTTTTTAACATCAATATATTGGCTGTTTGGTTTTGTGCGCTATTAAACTGTCAGATGTTTTACTGGCTTCTGCATTAGCAAAACCCTTGCAGAAGATGAAAACATGAATACATAAATAAATCAGGTTTTGCAGTATTGCTGTTGCCCTACATTATAAATCACTCAAAGCTGTGTGACAGGCTCACCATGCCCTGCAGAATACCACAGGGGGCAGCATGTGGGCTGACCCGAGGGGAAAGCCTAAAAAGCCCCTCTGGTTTCCCTGGCTGCAGCACCTGACTAGGTACAGCATACTGTACATTACACTGAGAGCTCCCTGCTCATCCTGTAGCCAGTCAGAGGCCTGATCACTAGCCAATAGCTTTGTCCTCCCCACCCACAGCCAGACTGCTTTTCCTGGCTGCCCCCTGCCACCGCTGCCTGCTGAGAAAACTTCCTTGTTGACCCATACAACTCAATATAGCTGCGTTTGTGCTGAGATACAGAACATAGGGGGTGTTTCTCAATGTCGAGGACGCTTCCTTGGTAGGACATGTCTTCCGAGTCAGGTCCTTCAAAAGCGAGGCAAGAATCCTTCCTAGCCTCGGAAAACGAAGAGTGGTGGAACAGGCTAACGGGTGTGCAGGTGTTAGTGCAATGTATGACTCACCAACTTTAAATGTTAACACAGAGAGAGAGATCAATAAAACACAGATATGGTTGAGATTCATTATTATTCAATTGCGCAACAACAATAATAATTTGGATCACCTTCTGGCACAGCAGCCAATTATGGAAATGCCCCACAGACTAGAAAGTTCTCGTGTGCTTTATACACGTAAAACACACACGAACATACACTTGAAACATACGTGGCAGAGATTGTTAATATGTTCCAGCAGTGGAAAGGTCATTATCTCATGACGTCTTTAGAGTCTTGCAGGATATGAATTATCCAATTAACAAAGACTATACGTTTGCACATGACCGCATACACAATTTTCCTTACATGAACTAACACACAAACCTCAATGTTTTCTCTCTAACTGTATTATAATCTAATAAAGATCTCTTTGGTCTTCCGCTGACCTTGGTAATTTACTTAGCGTGGGTACATCTGCTGATAATTGCGGAAGAGGCAATGGAGCCTCTCCGACCTGTGTAACCTTCATGAATAAGCGAGAAACACGCTGTAATAAAGAATCTGCCATAACCCAGGTGTGCGTCATATGCGAGGCCCCGCCTTAAATGGAGCGCGATTTCCGCCAAAGATTTTTGAAATTGGTCCGTGCGCAAAGCATTGTGGGGATTTTAACACCGCGGAGGAGACACATGGGCAGCCTCGAAATGCCCCGCAACGAAGGACGCTGGCCTCGCTAGAATTCCAAGGATCCTGGACATTGGAACAGTCCTTCGGCGGGACTCGATGACGTAGCATCCTTGAAATAGTGGCTCTGGAGGAGCCTTCCTCGACATTGAGAAACACCCAGGGAATGGAGTTTGGCTTATCCAAAGAGAGGCTGGGATGCTTATGGCTAGCCTTTTTTGTTTTAACAGACCATTTTGTAAGACTTCAAAACCCAAGTCATATGAGTTTAAAAAAAGAGGTTAAAGAGTTGTCTGAAAGCGTCTCCCTGAGGTTGAATCAGAATATCCTGATGAACTTGTACTGCATAGCCTGATGAACTTGTACTGCATAGCCTGATGAACTTGTACTGCATAGCCTGATGAACTTGTACTGCATAGCCTGATGAACTTGTACTGCATAGCCTGATGAACTTGTACTGCATAGCCTGATGAACTTGTACTGCATAGCCTGATGAACTTGTACTGCATAGCCTGATGAACTTGTACTGCATAGCCTGATGAACTTGTACTCAATATATCAACCATATCATTGTGAGGAAAACAATTGACTTTGCTGTGTATTGTCCATTTCTGAAGATTGGATCACTGACACTTTTAATAGACACTAGAATAAAAAGTATTTTTATAATCAAGCTCAAAGCTTTTAACACATTCAGATTTGTTGCACACTTTGCAAATTAAAGTTGGTATGAAACGCGCATAAGTCTGGAATAAAGCCAAACATTGTGCTTTTCATATTGCAGAATCCTCCTTCCTTTCTGAAAATGCATGGTTTTGCACA